AATTGTCTTTTTCAACTTCAATGAGAAATTGAATTTTCCTCTATAATTCAAAATTTGAATTGCAAAAATGTTTATTTAGTGAATTATATTTGTCGAGTGTCGCATAATCAACTGATATTTTTGTAACGTTAAATGGATTAAATTTAGGTTTACAAGGACAGAAAGTTAATTTGTTTACCATTAGAGATAAAATAAATGCAATGATAAAAAAAGCTCGAGCTAATAATCAAAGAATTGGACAAAAATATTTTAAGCATTTTACCACTTTTAGAAAGTTTTCTAACCGAAAACAATTTGAAAATAAAAGAATTAGCATCCAGCATTAAAAATTATCGATTTATATAGATAAATAATTTTAATATGTATCTACCCGAGGATTACGGTTTGGTTTGGTTCATTAGATTACGGCAAAGCACTCGAGGGCTATCTGACTTAAGCGAGGGATGCCTTCGTGGAGGGCTTTTTAAGAGAAACTGGTTCGTATACATGTTACACATGGGGAAAACAACGAAAACACCCATGCAGCCAGCCCGTTCGCGGGATTCGAACTTCGGACCGAACTACCAGTGTTCAGCGAAATTACCGCTCGGCCGCTAGTTGTCTCCCGAGGATTATGAAAAAAGGTTCATTAGAATTCCGTTTTGTTCAAATGTGCCTAAAATTTTATCTAGTGAAGAAAGAGGACAATTGATAGGAACTTCCTGTGATCTAACTCTAACTGAAGATTTAAAAAATAACACGCTAGTTAACTTTTGACTAAACCAAAAAAAAAAAAAAAAAAAAAAAAAAGAATTCAAAAGCATTTCAAATAAGCTATTAAATTTCCATTGCCTTTTGCATAACCTATTTGTGTGAACAAGGATTTTCTTCCATGTTATATTTAACAAATAAATACAGAACAAAGCTAAAAGTGGATACTGATTTACGGTTAAAACTAAGTGAAATAAGACCAGACATAAGGAAACTGATCTCTCTTAAACAGGCTCAAATTTCGCACTAAATTTTAGAATTGAAGTTGTAATGTTTCTTAGTACTTTGTGTGTGCTAAAATGTGGAGGAACCTATTTAACTAAGCAGCGAAGTATCGCTGAGTTCTAGTATGTATGACAGAGTCTTGAGAAGGGTTAAAATACCCTTTTATTCACTCATGGAAATAATAACAGTTTGCCTCTTCTCGGGCTTACAGGAAAGCATCAACTCGGGCTTTAAATCGGAATAAGAAAACAAGAAGCTAATCTAATACTAAACTAAATAGGCTTTAGCTGAAGCTAGACGAAAATGCCTAATGTAGTTAGCCCTTCAATTAACCTAGCCGGCGATTATCAACCGGCACGTACAATACGGCCGAACGTAGTAGATTCAAGAACGAAGTAGACCGAAGGCAAATATGCGCCACTAAGGACGTCTAAGCCCTCTCTCTCGAAGTAAGTCGAACTTCCCTTAAATACTCCTTTTAACTCATTTGCATAAAACTCGATACGAAAAAGCTTATTCTGGTAAAAAAATGTTGATGGGAAACGAGAATAGACAGTAAAGCCTGTTTAAACTTAGAACAACTTTTAGAAAATTAAAGTAACCTCTACAAAGTATTATAACTTAAATTTTTATGATTAAAAGGGTAGCTAATTTGTAATCTAATATTTTTTTGTGTGTGCATATTTAATACGGATAACCAATACGTTGTGCGGTGGCAATGCATACATATATATATTTTAAAATATACATTGTGAAATTTGACAGAAATTGTTAAACAATCATTTGAACATGTGGTAGAACTGAACTAACTGAACTAACATCTTTCAGTTTTTGTTCAGATGGTACGTGTTAGTCATAAGACTGAGAACCGCTGCATTATACTACCATAACATCCATTATGGGATTTTCATATTTGAAAATTTTTTCTGATTAATTTTATATTAGTTTTATTTATGAATACGCATATTATTTATATGAATTCTTAGTTTGGCAGCATCTCCTCGGCGTGCGGCTGTGTAATATCTCCTGCCGTACCTGGCTGAGAAATTGTAATCAATTCACGTGGTAATTTCAAGCTGAGTACGTTTCTGTTTTTTATACTGTTTGGAAAAGTTGTAATATCTATATTGTAAAGTTATTACGTTCTGAATAGACTACACTGTCCAGAATCGAACTAGAAAATGCAATCATGTAGACACTTTTTCCTACAGGATAGTGTCTAGCCCTCAGACCGGCACGGTTATGCGCAAGAACGATATTCACTGACTTTTTATACCTGGATTTATATACTTTAATTTTATAACTTTAATTTTTTGGATATATTTCAAGTTGCACTAATGTATACTTTCTTAGAAACACAAAAAAGTTTCTAGCCGTATGTATACGACCTTACCGGTCAAAAGACTAAATGATTTCATGAGATCCAGTATTTCGGAAAATGTCCCATAGTTCCCATTTCACTATACTATGTCCGAGGGGGATTCGATCACTCTTAGCTAAGCGATTTATTTTTGTAAAGAAAAGAAATTATCAATCTTTTGAGCTGTATCGATAAGGGTAAGCCGTTTGCTTTGCAAAACAGTAAATACTGCGGAAAGAAAAGATGTGTGCTTACTTTTAACGAACTACTTCACAGCTACTATCATTGTGGTCTCGGCATTTTACTACGTATCCTTTTCTACGAATACTTTACTTCCTGCTTTTCACCAAGCAAAACAAAAGATGTCAGCTAGCTTGATGTATGAAATACCTGTAAGGTGTAGGTGCTGTTGCCATAAAATTGCAGTCAACATTCCCGAGCCTTAATCGAATCAAGCATACTCATCCGTTAGGTATCTGGTTGATGTCAAGAGCTCTTTCGCTACCTTTAGCAATGCTGCCGAGCGTGCTGACATTAGACTGGTTTCTGAAAAAAACTAGATTCTCTTGGAGAGTTTGGCAATTTGTTGCAAGATTGCATGCGCAATGCTCATGTAGTGTGTTAAACTCCGTATTAGAATATGTTGTCCTTTAATTCTTGCCCGTATTATAGTTATTACGTACTGAATTTTAAGACAATGGGTGCTTTCATTTTATTTAAAAAATACATTATTTGTTACGGTTCATATTGTTACGAAATGTACAGGCGCGGTGAGATAGCTTTTCCCGCAAAGCAGTTTTAGGGTTGAAATAAAAATGGCAAAATAAGACAGGGTTGCCACATTTGGCGAGAAATCGTCCATTTGGCGACAAAATTGGGGATATACCATGGACGGATGTAGAACCTTCTGGAACGAATTCTTACCATTCCGCCCAGAATGTTCTCGAACACAAGCCGAAAGCTATATAAACCCTGCTGGTCCGCAGTCAGTTAGTGTGTGTGTGTGCCTCGTCTAGAGTGTGCGTTAGTTAGTATCGAGTTGGTGTCTCGTCTAGCGAGTCAATCCCTGCGGAGTCGATCGAGTTGACAGCCGGGCAGCGAGTGCCGAGTGGGTCGTCGAGTTCACCGAAGGAGTCTATTAGTGTATCGCGGTTAGTGCGTGGTCGAGAGAGCGTGTTGAGCTCCGAGAATGACTGAACCGAAGAATCGGGAGCTGTGCTCGTGGGTCTTCGAGTGCATCGCGAGTTGTAGCGTGAAAAGTCTCGAGAGTACGTGGAGTTCCGAGAACGACCAAGCAAAGTCGGGAGCTGTACTCCGGGAAAGCAGAATGGGGTGCTTTGTAGGAAGCTGTCTCCACCGTGATAGCCTGATAACCTGAAGGCTGTGTTTCTGATCGTGTCAGCGTGTTTATAGTAGTTCATCGACGACCGTAAAACGTGTTTTGGAGCTCTCCTGACAATATTGCTAAATAAAGTGTGTTTCGATACTTCATCAAGTGGCGTCGTTATTCACTCAAAATCTACGAACCCCGTACGAACGTTAAGGAAGAAAGTAACATAACAACTGGTGTCAGGAAGAGAAAAACGTAACAATATTAACTATAAAGAAATTTACATTGCTATCACTTCAAAATGTGTCTATATATTTTATCTCTCTCGTTTATCGCTTGAAGTTTTATCAGCGTAAAAATCTACAGGTATTAGATATTAATTATGTAACATAATCGTGTTGTTTTTCTGCTAGTTAAATTCGCCATTTTGTAAGCCCTTTTTATTCAAATATTTCAGAACTTTTTATTCTGCTCTAGAACATGCTGCAAACATTTCAGAGTAAACAAGATTTTTATTTTTATTTATAGATGGCAATTTCTTCACGAGAAGCTGGAGAGAGGGAGCGATGATTTTTCTTAAATTTAAGGTGTTTTAATCAGTGTTACTGCATGGATGAAAGCAATGCGTTAGGTTCCTGTTTCTAATAAGACTCTCATAGGAAAAGTTCTAAAGCTCACTCTGTCTTGTTTTCGTATATTTCTTCGACAGCTTTCGTCCAAAACACATGCTTTTAAAATTATTTTGGCTACCAATTCTCAAAATGGAGGGGATTTAAGTGATTATTTGCTAAAAAACTCAAATCATCTCTGTTCATAAGCTCTAGTTGCAACAAAAATGGAACATATTGCTCCCCCATAGTTTGGCGTGCTGATAAATTTATTTCTTCCAGTTTTCTCCCACAAAGATTAGTGTTGGGTATTCGGTTTTTCACAGTTTCTGAGCTTCAATACGATCAAAGCTTTGTATGTTAAATAGATTTTTTCGAAAAAAAGAACAAAGATTTTCTTATTCTTCTCTTACAGCGGCTGCTTCTGTGAAGGTATCGAAATCCAGCATCACTCACCATTTTAAATCATTCATTATGTTAGTGAATAGGTTGTCCTTACAACTGAGTCCTCTTGTAAATAAGAGATTTTATTCTACAAACTATGTCTGCTATTATCATCATTAGAAAGAATCAATAAAATGTGAAAACAAATTATTGAAAACCGGAAATGCCCATAAATTTCAACGTGTTATTCAGAAAGAAAACATAGTATTCTACTGTGGGGTCTGAAATACCAAGAAACTTTATAATATTTACGAAACTATTCTGCAAAATATTTAAAAGCACATTTATTTCCAAATACTTTATTAACCGTAATTCGTTTACAAATCTTAGATCAATACATTATATGAGCATATCAAAGATCTAATGCAGCAAACATTTGCTTTCAAACCTACTATACAGAACTACATCATTCATAATGTAAAATTAGAAGCAATAACAGCTTTACATCACTTTTCCACACAAATTTTGTATATATACGAATTTATTCAACACTTTTGGCTCATAACACCAGCCATTTAACATCAAATGGAAACACTGCAATGCACAAAGTAATGATGAAATCCTGTAAAACACTGAAAGTATATTCATGTCAGACAATGATATGTTAATTAATATGCAGGGTTTATACGCATGTTACTAAGGAAATAATTTTCCAATCAACAGTTTCTTATATAGATATTTTATTATTCAGCAGCTGGAAGCGTTTATGAGATTAAGCTTAAAATTTATCAAAAGAGGAATCTGAAATTCTGACACTGACTATTAAATTTAAAAATGCTGGCATTCTTACTGAAGACAAGTATATTATCAATAAATAAATCCCGAGTATTTTAAACTCAGAACGGCGTAAATTTTAAAGAAATAGCCGTTTTTATTTTGTTAGGAGCAATTCTTTGCAAGAGTTGAGATATCAACTGTTGTTATATTTGATTTGAGTGTTGATTAATTGTTATTGAATAATATGTTGCTTAATGTGATAATTTTTGGATTTCAAAGAACACAGTGACGTCTTGTTTTCTGTAAAATTTTAAAACGAAAAGATGTTTATAAATTTCATTCATTAAATTATTGATATCTTAGTAAGTGGGTAGTGGAATAGAGACCTAACCTAATACGTAATTCTTTCAATGAGTTGATAAAATAAGTTTGATTTTAAAGTTCCTTCTAAAAATATAAATCCACAAAATATCTTTTGATAACTGTAACCAAGTATTGCGTGTGTTGCACAGTTTTAATGTTAAATAGAATGAAATTTTTCATACTTTTATTAATGTTTTTAGCTGCATTTTTTTTGTTTTATTCGAAATATTTTGAAAATGGCCATGAGAAATTAATTTTTGAAAGAAACATATTATTGGTGACACGTTAAATGTGTTTAATACTGATGAGGAAATGATCCAGCATTTTTTAACGGTTCATCTAATTATTGTGAACTCTAACATCAGGGGCTAATGTGTTTTTCTGCTTCTGAGCGTAGTTTTATGCACACGTTTTTCAAAAACTTTCTATGATTCATAGAAGTAATAAATACATTTTCCTCAATTTTTTAAGTCATAAAATGATTATAGATATCTAAATTTCGCTGAGTGTTTTTAAAATATTGTTATCTGTTTAGAGCCCGAAACTACATTTACTTTCGAAAATATCTCAAACGGTTCCAAAAAAGTAAGTTTAAATAAATAGCAAATTAAACAATGATCATCATTTACCCTGAATTCATAGTTTTGAAAGAAAGAGCTTGCAGAAATTATGGATGAAATATGTAAACAATCAAAATCAATGTACAAAAATAAATTTATACAAATATAAACTGAAATTATATACTTCGATAGTAATTCGCAAAAAGTTTGCATAAAACTGAAACTTCTTTTCAAAGTAATGTGTTTAAAGTTATGCAGAATTGGGTGATCCTAAGAATGGGCGAAGCACGTAATTCTAACTGTGCAAGTTAGAATTATATAGCAACATTCTTTTCCATTTTATGAATGAGTGCATAAGTAATGAACGAAAGCCTTTTTAAATTCCTTTTACTTTTCCCAAAGTAACAAATGCGCTTACTCGAAGCTAGTTTTCTTCAGAATACGTTTTTTTAATTGTAACATTCCTATTAATACTTGAACTGCTGAAGCACCTATATTGTTGAAGGAAGTTTTGCAGAATATGGCAAGTTGAGTTAGACATATGTAAAGCATTCATTACAGTATTACAATGAAAGAGCATGATGAGTTTATTATCCGCTAATATAACACTGTATATGAGTTTTGTGTATCCACAAAAATACACCAAAGTAATTTAAGCCCGTTCATGGTACTGTCTGAAGATATTCCATGTTATGGCTGACTAAACTTATGATAGCCGACTGTAACATGCAATCACAGGCAAGTAACATAGCAACGGACTCACGCCAAAATACACTATCTTTATGGAAGTATTCGTAATGGTCGTTTAGTAACAAAATAATCTCTGCTACCTTCCTACTTCCACATATTTTAGCTTGATTGTTATAAGCTAGACATAATTTTTATCATCAGTGTAGCACAGAATATAGTTCACTCACCAGCCTTCTTCTGTAATCTGAAAAAAGAAAACAAGAAAGAAATCAGTATTTGTAACTTTATACCATAACAATTGGATTATGCAAATGATAATTAACTCTTTAGAATCAGCTTTTGCTAGCATCGACACCTGTCATACGAACATGGACAGATATGCATGATTCGGACCCATGATTCATTGCTTATGCACTGTTCTGATAAAACAACTGTTTTATGTTCTCTGATTCTTTGAAACTGGGCGTGACACTTCAGCGCTATAACACTACATTTCTTTTAACATTACTGTTTCCTGTATCAAGGATTAATCCAAAATATCATTTTCATATGCCCGAGAGAGAAAATTGTAATGTAGCTTAAAGTAGTCTTGATTATTACTTTTAATGTATTAAAATGCATAATTTATCCATAAATGTCTACTTCATTTCTGAATATTGCTTGACGATTTCTTACCTATATCTTTAAACGTTTATTTATCACCTGATGGGCTGGCGATCCAGAAAGCTGCGGAAGTCTTTGTCACGTATTACACGCGGTAGAAATATGTTGCGAAATTTTTTCAAAATGTTAAGGAAAGAAACGCACTGACGAAAGGAATTAGAAAAGTAAATTAGGAATAATCATGATTGATCACAAAAGAATACTCAAAAAGTCACCTCATTTTACTTAAAACTCATTGCATGTTTTGCAGATGGAAGCATGCACATTCCTTTGTACGTGGTTTAAAACGGATACTTTTAAACAAGTGCCGATTTAGGTAGGAAGGCCGTTATTTATGACTAAATGATAGATTTAATCTCCTGAAATTTCAAATATTGCTCCATTTTATTAGAACTCATTATATTTGTCAGCAGCCTACCTCACTAAATGATCTACTTCTGCTATAAATTGCAAATAGAGGGACGCACGTTGTGTTTTATTCCCGAGGCATTACAATCGTTTTATCAAAAAAACGGTGAGCTTAATTCTCTCGATCTCGTTCCTGTTTTTTAATCCTTTGTTCCCTATATTAATAACTGTTGGCATTCATCATAGGTATGACTCAATTTCGCTGATACAATGGATTAAATAAAATTCAGCAAATCTGACCAAATAAGCCTTCGGAAACAGCTTAGGAACAAAACGTTGCCTTCCTGATATGCAGTTGATTACTTTTATCTTTTTTCTATACTTTATAATTAAATTATAATTACCAAACTTATTTTGTTGCAGAAAAATTGAAGTGAAGATTTTATGTTAAATCAGTCTACTAATTATCCTTTTATAATTTACGGAATAAAATAATGAGAAAGGACGGAGAAAGGTTTGAATCATAAGAACTAAATCAGAGTATGCATTTTCTCCATGTACAAGCTAAACTTTAATTTTCCATTTTCCTTCATATGTTTATACCGAGAACTTCATAAATAACATAAAGATACAGGGAACATAAAACTCACTGCCTATTCCTTCAGATTCCAGCTTGAGACCTGAAAAGTGTCATTAATTGGGTAAAAAAATGTCTTTTGATGTCAAGGTTATTTGATCATAGCAGATTAAAATAAGCATATATTTCCAGTGAAATTACATGACCGCCATTGATTTCAGCATTAGCTGGATACGATTTCTTTAAAAGATAATATGCATCCAAAATACACACTTTCAAGGTACGTAATAATATTTAGATATGCGGAAAATGACTTTTCCATTAGGTAGGAAAGAAAATCCTTTTAAAAATAAGGGTGACTACGTTTTCAAAATAGATCATGAGGTTTATATATGCTTTGAAGAGGAAAGAAACATGCTGTGTAGATTTTGAATTTCATGGCTGTTTATTAATCTGTAAGGGATTTATCGATGTCCACTGTAAAAGCATTTCTCTCCTTTGAAGGAATTTATTCCGGTCTCTAGTATTGGCACTTCTCTCGAGAGTTACGCATTTGTGCATTGAGGGGGTAAAGCATATGGAATTTAGTTTTCATGTAGGAGATACAATGATATAAGTTGAAAAGGAAGTTATTTATTGAATAAACATTCCAGTATTCTCAGAACTGAAAATGGATGCAAAAGTTTTAATGTGTTTTCCGAATTAATATAGGTTTAGAGCTAATGAGGCTCATAAAATGTAAAGACATTACACAGAAAGAAGTACATCAGAGATGGCATTTTAGGTTTCTTCACAATAAATTAAATAAGAAATGCATACACAAATAATTTTACAGAAAATTCTTAAACGACAATGATATCTTATATTATTTATAAATTAAGAAGGAGGTTTTATTTGTAAATTAATACACTACAAAATTATGAATGTCTTCAATTTTTAACAATAGAAAGTATTTGAACTTCTTCACGAAATACTGAAAAACATTTTCCTTTTAGATTTACTGCTGCTATCCTTTTAGATCTACTGCTATATAACGGCCTAGCATAACGACGGTGGTTTGACATAATAGACTTACTGTACGAAGGAGATTCTTCATGCCATATTAAATACTATCTTGCATAAATTTCAACCAGAGAAGCTCACTGAAAATGATATGACGTCATTCGCGCCTAATCAGATGGTCATTCATGCAGTTTTTTTATCTGAGGTCATACAAAAAACCGAATGTATAGGAATGAGGCAACTTAAAGGGAACATTACAGTTACCGGACAGTAAATTTCAGCAGCAATCTAGGGCTGAGAATGTTGTCTACAGTATGAATTAATGGTTATTTATCACGATCTGTACACTGAATACAATTTTTGCTGCGCAGTTAAAGTTCTATGGTGTCTCCTTAGAAATTTTATTGCAAGTATTTACGAAGCGAACCCAGAACCTGCATTATGATCCATTAAATCCAAAGTTAAATTTTTTATACTGTCAAAAGTCTTTAATCCGGACGTCCATAGTCCGGAATAATTTATAATCCGGACCTCAAAACCACAAACTTTCTGCTCATTGATGAACGCATAAAGCGTTTACGTATGCGCATAATATTTTTACGCATGCTCATAACACGTTTACACATGCGCGTTTAATGTATAACGCACGGTATAAGCTATGCTAAAATTATCTAATTATCTATTTCAGTTAATGTTGCAGATTGCGTTGTTTCTTAATCTTCTAATTGGATCCGGCTTATTATTTTTTGCAGACTGTTAGAGCAATTTTATAAAAGTAAGCTTGAACTTTCGATTATGTTAAAAAGAATTTCCGATTCTGGAGCTGCCGAAGGATCTACAAAGCGAAATCATGTATCGATGTAAATCAAGCAAAAAGTGGAATTGCTGCAAAAAATGGATAAAGGCATATCCGTTTTTTCTCTAACCATTCCGAAATCTGTTTATCAATTTCACGCTGCTCTGCGGGGGGGGGGAACGTCGCGGCGCGCAATGATCTGGAAGTTGATCTGTCAGCCCTATCCTTATCTTCAGGGCAGATGTTTTTATTTTATTCAGCTTATATAATTCCTTACTAAATGTAGTATTTCATCTCGATGTACTCCGTCTTTGATATGATTTAAATCAAATTGCTCGTCATTATAAATATAAAGAATACACATCAAATAGTTTTCTGGTTGCAATTTTCTAATTTCGACTATGCGTAATGTATGCTTTACGCATGCGCGAGTTGAAAGATATGTTTAATAAAGTAAACAAATAAATATTAAGCTTTTTTTGTGTAAATTTTGATACCTTTTAGATCATAATTGCTCTTTATTTCATAAATTACGGTTTCATATTTTTAATTTTATAATTTCTGCATGCCATCTTACCAGATTTAAACTGATGATCTATAATTTGGAATCGCCGAAGTCCCGACGAGTCCAGATTAAAGACTTTTGACTGTACAATTAAATTAAAACCATGAATATTGAAAAATGTGTACCAAACAATAACAATATAATAAATTTCATCAAAAATATTATTATTTATTGAGGAAACGGAATGTCATAAATCCAGGATGCTGGACCTTAAACTGATGTAGATTTCAAACAGCACATGATACAGAAAGATTCTAATGATGTGTGGGAAGAAGTCAAAACATGAAATAAAGCATAAATAAATCACTTCATTAACACTCACATCTGTTGTTATTAATCGTTAATTATTTTTGTAATCAATAATAAACTGCTCCAGAAAATTCCTCCTCATTGAAATTTTATTAAATGTGGAACAGTTCGCCGAAGAAACTTTGTATACATTATCTACAACCCTATGATTAACAAACGGACTTGACCATAACTCCGAACAGCAAAAATAATAAATACCCTCGAATGCAAGAATACCTAACCAGCAGCTCGAGAGCCACACGAGGCTCACGTGGCTCTGATGGAGTCCGCATTGCACATCTAGACCGCTGTAAATCAAAGTTTTCTGTGAATTTCGTTCTGAGCCTGCTGTAATGGAGAAGAAACTGTTATACCACTTTTCTCAGATAATGAAAAGGCGTTTGATACGTTTTGGCATCATGGCCTCCTTATCAAACTTATATCTTATCAGTTTCCACCAGAATTAATTATTTAATTGCAAATTATTAATAAATAACAGCAAATTATTAATAAATAGATAACAGAACCTTCTACCAAAATTAAAAATAAGTTCTCCAGTAACAAATTATTGAAGCAGGTGTACCCCAAGGAAGTATAATTTCGACAATTGTTTTCATTTTGTACATTAAGTACATGCCATCTATCCCGTACTCGATTTTAGCTTGCTACACGGGAAGATACAGCTATTTTATGCAGCTCTGCTAATCCTCACTGTGCCAATGAAAAACTCCAAAACGCATCTGATACACATTCAAAATGGTTCCAGGCTAGGAAAGTAAAGGTCAGTACCACTAAATCGTTAGTCATCTACTTTAAAACTATTAAAACAGAAACTGAGAGCATCAAATTTAACGACAAGACAATTCCCAAGGAAAAATATGCAACATATTTAGGAGTTCTGATGGATGATAAGTTAACGTTCAGACCGCACGTCAACTTCATCAAGTATAAAGTGTATAATGCATTTATGGCCATCTACGCTTTATTAGGACGCAACTTTAAACC